TACATACTACAAGTTGTAGTAATAGAAGATATTAAATCTTTCCTTTATTTATAGTCTCAATATAATCAACCGCTTTCGCGTATACTTTGGAAACTGAATAAGTTTCTTTGAGACTTACTACAACACAATACTTTATTGGTAATCAATTGTGTTTCTCCAAAATAATAATAATTGGCTCTTCCAGAGCTCTCAATTAATTTGGTACTACCACATATTCATCAACATCCATATGGTGAATATCTCTTTTAAAGAGAAAGTTATACCATTATGGTTATGGTTAAAATTATATGCAAGATCTGTTTCTTGCATTACTGTTGTCTTTTAATAATCACAATGCCAAAATATTTTGGCATACAATAAGTACGTGACCAATGACCATTCATGCCATAATAATGACATTATTTTCTTATATCATCTCAAACCTCCTTCTAGAGGTGAGTGTGGTATATTCACTACCACTAGCACGTTCATATTCTTCCAAGAATGAATATGTATTCATAAATAAGATGTTGTCACATTCACATCATGAATGGACCATAATCATCTGTATGTGCTTTATAAAATCTCATTTCAAATCGATGACAAATATTACTTTCACAGAGTGAAGAATTATTTTGAGAATCCTTATTATTCTCATTATCACAATGATGACGATTATAATTTCGTCTATTGCCACGTCCACATCCATTGATACATTCATAGTGATAATTTTGTCTTCTTTCAGACTTATCACATACTGCTATCACATTTCTCTTAAGGGAATGAGAATGGAGCAAATTCAATGGGACGAGTTTTCACTTTTTGTGCCCGTAATCATACATGAATTTGATCATGGCAAGACATTGAAATTTTACCACTTCAGGTGGTTATAATTTCTTACGAACTCCATTAGAGTTATAATCAAACCTTGTTGTCTTTGCTTGTATATAAAATCAAATTATAGAATTTCAAGAATTTAAAAGAGAAAAATAAAGTAAAATACTTACCTTAAATCCAGAATTTAATCATGAAGGAAGTTCATGGAATAATTGACAATCATTATGCTCAATCCCAAAGCTTCTACTCAATTGGTTAGAGTCTCGTGCTGATAACGTGTTATAAAACAACAAAAGTAGAAGAACAATATTGCAGAGAAAGAGAGAGAGAAAGGATTCTTATTGATTTTGGGATGAATTACAATGGAATAGAACCCTCTATTTATAGGGAGATGGTGACTTAGCCACCAAGTAATAAACCCTAGAATCTCTCTAAATATGGACATTCACCATAAATAGGATTCTATTTATAACAAATCAATTGTATTCTTAGTTTTGCAATATTTTGAATCAAATTGTATGTCAAATTTGTTTCACGGTTTGTGAACAAAAGTTCTTTACGTTAAATTGAAAACTAATATTGTTGAGCATCAAATACCGAGTAGAATTGGAAAAAAGATCTCCCTAATATGGTGAGACTACTTTTATGCATGGCAATACAATTAATTCAAGTAGGAGTATATGGTATTACAGATCGAATATAATTTGATTCCTAGTTGACAAGAATGGGTTGCTCTAGTGGTGAGTATACTCCACTTCCAACCTCTGTTTTAAAATGCAGAATTCGGACTCGTTCGGGGCTCGCCCCGGAGCGGAGCACTCTTAAAACGCCCCTGGGCTTATGTGTGGGGCTTAGTTCCGTGAGACTTACGCCTCGGCCATCGGGGCTTACGCCCCGAACACGCCCAACGCCCAGAGTACTGGGCTCGCCTAATAGAACTTTATGCAACTGTATGTAACTAACCTTGTAAATCCTCAAATTTTCTTAATAAATCGTTGACTATTCAAAATTACTTTTTTCTTAATCATAAATCATTAAGTTGAGAGTATTTTGTGTCATAATTAAAATAAAAATTATTGTACGTTATCCATTAAGACTGCTATGATAGTTAATTTTAAATAAATCTTTCATTTAAAAAAGTATTTATTTATTAACTTTTGTTATGTCTTTACTATATAATAGTTTATAATTTTTTTATAATTATTTTTCTAAATATTATTTTTTTCACGTTTACGAGATACAATACTTATTAATTTAATAGCTCAGTATTAGCTAGTAACTATTTACAAATAATTAGTTATCATGGTATTGTATGGTGAATTATGTGTCACTTTATTAAATTGTTGAAACATAAAAATAAATGATGCTAGAGAATCATATTGAAAATGTGAATTATGTTTTCATATTAATTCTCTTTCAAATAGAAATATTAAATAAAAGGAGTATTTAAGAAAAATATCAAATTTATAATATCGAAATTCTTTCAAGATTCATTACTCCTTAAGAGATACATATAAGACTTCGTATCGAATACATAACTTTTGATGTTTGAGTTGTAATGACGTTACAACTAATTTGCATATTATGATATATGTTATACTTTTCGTATTATTCATAGTTGAATTATACTTTATAAATATTTTAAATATATTATTTGTTATAATTTTGTGATTTTAATGTAATTTTTATAATTATTTTTTATTTTATACTATTTTAAAATTCTTGAAATTAGTAAAATTTAAAGATCCGTGGGACTTACGCCCCATGTCTCAGGGCTTACGCCTCGCCTCGTCAGAGGTAAAACGCCTCGCCTCACGCCCCCGCCTTTTAAAACATTGCTTCCAACCAAGAGGTTGTGAGTTCGAGTGAGCCCAAGGGCAAGGTGTGGAGTTCTTGGAGGGAGGCACTCAAGGGTATTGGAAAAGGAAAGAAAGAAAAAAGTGTTTAAAGCCACTTCTTTATCTTATATAGTTTGAATATTTTAAAGGATGTTTTGGAGGGAAATTAAAATTTGACTATACTATTAACAGTCAAGATTGCCCAATTGGGCTTTGGGGCAATAAGTAGCCCGGAGTTAATAGCTTTGTCACTTATTATTTTATTAGTTAATTAAAAACGTTTTTTTTAAGAGTTTTATTTTTAAATTCAAAAAAGGTGACTATTGGTTTTAACAGGTGCATGTTATAATGAGATGAATCTGTTAATTCCAACAGACGCCTAGAGGTATTACAAATACCCATATCATCTTCAAAATGAAATACATCCAATAATTTTGGAATCCCTTTCTCTTCTACTTATTTTCTACAACTCACAAATATTATGTTCTTGTGAGAAATACGAGTTAATTGCTGAAACTTGAATTTTAGAGACTTTATAAAATTCTGGAGGAATTCTACTATTATCCATACAGCAACAAAGTGGAAAGCTTAAATTCTTTAAGGACAATAATTACACTATTGATGCCAAATTATTTCATCCCATTATTTTCTAACACATAATATTTCAGATACTAACACGGCTCCCTCCTGCCAAATCTTTGATGCGATTCACGTGTGTTTGTAAGGCTTGTAAGAGTTTGATAGGACATGATTCTGACTTTGTTAAATCCCATAATGTAGATTTTCATGCTCGTGGTCCCTCACCCACCCACTCTTTTTTAACTACATATTTTTCCTCCTAATCCTCGAAGATCTTTTAAGCGTAATATACAACGTCTAGAAAAATTATCTTTATAACTCGTTCCCCGTCATTATTTAGAGACAAGAGTTAAGTTCCATATGTGCTCAAACAATTGCAATGGCCTTGTTTGTACTTATAACAAGTATAAGTCTGAAATTTACTTATGCAATGTCACCATGTGGGAGATGAAAGCTTTGCCATCCTCTCTAATAATTTTTTACTGGGAGGGTCGTTATTCTTATGTGTTTCTAGGATTTGATTCGGTCGTGGAACAACACAAATTTCTTTATGTTTATCATCACAAAGATCGATTAAAGATTATGATTCTAACTCTAGGAACTATGTCGTAGAGAGAAATAGAACTAATCACGAAAACTCCTTAGCACGATTATTTTTCCAGGGATTACATATTCCTCAACGGGGTACTTTATTGGACTACTCATTCATCCAATAATTCTAGTGACTGCTTCGACTTCAGAGATGAGAAGTTTGGAATTCGCTCTGATGTTGAAGTTAACAAATTTTTAATGAATATCGCTCTAAATCTTATGATCCAATTAATTCATAGAAGGTTGCGACCAAATTTAAAGCAAAGAGTAAGACTTGTGATGAAGAGAATTACAGCAATCTGCATGAACTTCCTGGGGGACGTGAGAGTAGAAACAAATAGAACACCTCCAATGGCATGCGATGTGGTTACTAGACCCAAAAAGGAAAGAGGATTAGGGATTTGAGACGTAAAATGGAACGAGGCTGCAATTGAGAAATATGTATGGGATATAGCAAAGAAAGCAGACATGGGTAAAATGGGTTAATCACGTGTACCTGAAGGGGAGGGATTGGTAGGAATATATACAATCCCAGGACTGTTGTTGGTACTAGAAAAAAAACTGTACAATGAGAGATAAATTGGCACCCAGATATATCTAGAATGGATGACTAACTTGCAACGGCAAATACACAATTGGTGGGGGCATAATTGGCACTACAACATTTTAGGCATACAACCACTCCTGAGAAGTGTGGCCTAAGATGCCAAGAAGTGTAGCGTTTGGGCAAAGGCAACACTTTACGACCTTAGGCAACGCTTTTTGGGGGTGGCCTAAAGTACCGTAACCTTTGACTATTGGCCACGCTTTGTAGGTGTTGCCTTAGAAGCCACGCTTTAAAAGTGTGGCCGATACCATACAAAGGCCACACTTATATTTTCTCATATAGCCACGCTTTTATGACATAAGGCTACACTTATGAAGCGTGATCTTTGTCACGTTAAAGGCTACGCTTACAAAGTGTGGCTTCTAGAGCAACATTTATCGGTAAGAACGCCAAATTGACAGTCCCTATGGCCACACTTTTTAAGCGTGGCGATTTTGTCTACACAACAAAATTATTTTTCAAATACTTATATTAGCCACAATTTTGTGGTTAAAAAACTATATTTGTTTGCATCAAATTCTATTCTCACACACACATATATCTCAAGCATTAAATTAGATAATAAGTAATAGAATAAAAATAATTCAAATACATATACTTAAAATAAATTCAACAAAGAAACATACTTTATGTACTGTCTATAGTAATAAAGCACTGTTGGTTCAAGAGTTCACTAGCAAAAACCTCTACAAAACCAAATGTATTCATATTTATAGAATCAATAAAAATAAACATCCCAATTGTTCAAAAGGTCTTCACCATTCACTTTAATGAATCAAATTGATTTGTGACCACCATATCCAATTGCATCACCCGTATTTTCCTACACATTCAAAATAAAATTAAAAATTACGAATAAACATATATATAGTATACACTGGTTAGAAAGCATGATTTTGTACGTTAAAATCGAGGTAGTTTTTGGAAGTGGGAAATATAAATACCTTTTCAAGACTTGGGGCGTGAGTTGAGCCAGAAGAATGTGGTAGATTTTGGCCTCTCATAGCTCGTGCACTACTTGCATCAACTGGTGAAGGAATATTAGATCCAACAAACACTTGTATATCATGAAAATCCAGTCCAGGGTTGTTTTTCACCATTTGACTAAAAATACATTGCATTTCATCTCTCATCATTTCCTTCATTTCTTCCTTGAGAGAAGTTATTTCATTGACATGCTTTTGCTTAAGCTTGGTGATTTCTTCATCTTTTTTCAGAGAGCTTGTCGTCACCGATCTACCATAGCATCTAACCCGACCAGGCTGCTCCTTTCCAGATACAGCCCTAATCTGATGTTTCTCCGGAACTTTGACGATTCTGAAGTTCAGACTGTCAAAAAAATATTATTGCACATCACTTACAAGTCAAGATAGAACGAACACTAAAATAACTTTCAACAAGTCAAGTTAGATTAAAAAAAAGTTTAGCAGACCTCAAAATTTATCCAAGAATGTCAATGGAGTTTTCAGCGACAAGGATTGTAACCAATTTAATATGAAGTTTCAAACAAACAGAACTGATTTGTGCATGTTAATCCTAATTAGTCTTCTGGGATTACACATAATGTTGCAGGCCAAGCTGATGATGGTACAAGGGGAGTTGTTCCTACTGTTGCATCAGGTCGTGAAAATGATGTAGCAGGGAGCAGAGGAGTCTTGAGGTGCAGCTAGTTGAGAAAAACTAAGGGTGGAAAATCAGTAATATTCCTAGTGCTACAAAAGGTGCTACAGTTGCGTCAAGTTTTGGAGTTGCAGCTGCTACTGATGTGCACAAATATGCTGTGCATGAGAATGAGGCCACGCATCTGTTAGAATCAGGTTCTCAAGCTCTTTGAAGTTGTAGACTCAAATAAGTGGTACTTTCTTTTATTTGCGTTTTTTGTCATTCAGGTCCTCACATTTATAAACTTTGTATTACTTTTGCTATTCTTTTTGGACCAATTGCTCATGATATACATAATTGTGTCTAGCTTGGAGATTAGAGATATGATGTGTGCAGTCATTTACTTGACTGTGCTGTCATGTCCAGTTATCAGGATTTAACTGGACATACATTATTTATCAATTTATTCCAAGAAAGCAAATAAACATACACTTTTTTTCTCGTTGGCACATTAAGACCTAGGTGACAGACAGAGTCACAAGAATTACTCCTTTAGCATTCAAAACTAGTTTCTTCCCAATAATTGTTTCTTATGTAGTTATCAATCAGTGCTAAAAGAATGTAGGATACAACAACGCATACATGCTACTTTTAGTTATCATACTATGCACTACTCTCTTAACACACATTCATATTCAAAAGCATATGTACATGAACATATATATATATATATATAAGTCATCAGTCTGGTGATTTGGTGGCAAGTTCATTAAGAAGCATCTTATTACTTTTTTAGCTCATGAGACGGCATTAAAGAGAAAAAATACAATAATAAGACTTAAATTGCAACATGACTTACTGTTGCAACTTGAGTATATGTATGAACTTCCTTCCCTTTCTTTATACGAGTTGTAATAAACATTTCAGACTTTGACGGTTCCTCGTTGTTCTCTTTGGTTGCGCGCTACAAATTACATCAAAGAAGATATAAAAAAGATATCACTTTGTTCCGACAAAGTACAAAAAGAAATAAAAGTAAGATTACAAAGTGTCGACTAAATATTACCAATGTAAATTACAAAGTAAGATTACAAAGTGTCGACTAAAGTACAAAAATAATTAAGTTACTTTAGCCTAACAACTAGTAAGAATATATAATAGTATGTGAGAAAGTAAATATTTAAGAAATAAGTTACCTTTAGAACACTGTAAAAAACTAACAACAATCTTCAGGCGACAAAATAGGTGATTCTTCTCATGCATATAGCAACTCATGGACTAAGGGCTCTAGTTTGCAATATTCATCTAGTAAAAGACCAGCTAAATGGAGTGGAGGAAGAAAACAATGGTGATGCAGACAATGAAGAGGATCAGAGTGTTAATGGCAAGGCCAATGCAAAAAAGAACTCTGAAGAGATAAGCCTAAGCATAACTGTGGAGGATGCCAAAAATCAGCAATCTGTGGAACAAGGTACTGTGAGAACTCAAAGTGCTGCAGTAAGCATTGACTATATTGTAGAACTAAATCCTAAACGTCAAGAATAAATCTGTAAAATCATGTGTTGTAAAACAATAAGACTTTCTTACCTCGTCATGACACTTAAGCTAAGCCAAATCCAACTTCAAGTCCACCATAAATCTTCCCGAGCGTGACTTATCTTCTAGAATAAAAAAGTAAAATTAGTAGGATCCACCACAATACGATTCTTGTTTGTCAATTCTCTTTATTTTGCTAACCTACATTCTTATATAATGCTTGCCCATGTTAAGGTAATTACTAACTTGAAAGCTCTAGATTATGTGCACACTAGAATTATTTTGAATAGAATGTACAATCATTAAAAATAGTGGGCGAAAGAGATTTAAGGTTCTAGCAATTATCTGTGTATATTAAATAGCAATAAGATGGTGAAGGTCCATCCCTTTGTGAATGGGGCTGAGTGCAAATGACATACAAGATTGGAACAGAACAGTAACTCAGTTTATGAAAAAGAGAACCAAACAAAATAGCTGCATTTGAATGAGAAGTGTTTTGAGGCACTCTTCACAGAGAGAAGAAGCGAGAAGAAAAGAATCTCAGAAACTCCAGCTGCAAGGAACAAAGTGATTAACTGATATAGCACACACAGCTTGATCAGACTCACAAACAAAGAAAGTCTTGATCGATAATTTTATTGTTTCTGGCTCTTAAGAACTATTACTCAAATATATTCCTTTTAACATAAAGGAACGGCAATTCCTGTACAAACACAGAATCAAGTTCTTATATTTATCAATATAAAAGAGAAGCAGCCAAGCATTTACACCAATGACCATAAACATTTTCCTAAGAAATAATTTTCATCAATGAATACATTTTTCACCAATATGGACAAAGGACTTCGTGACTCATGGAGCAAAGTCATCTTCCTATATATTTTTGTTAACTTTTAATGAAGTATTGAATATTATCAAAGCTATCCTGATGTTCTATCTTTCCCCTGGTATGATTTACTATAACTCACTTGACCATGAAAATATCAAGATCTGCCATCTATGGGGCATATGCAATAATTGACCAATTAAACACACTGTACAGTTAGAGTAGCTCTACAACTCAGTTGCCATAGATCTATATTATGGAATTCCAGATTTGGTTATTGGAATTCCAAATGCTCTACAAACTGTCGCCAGTCCAAACGGATTTGAAATCCTAGCAGATGAGGAGGGTGTTGATATAAACTCATCATTTCTAAATGATCCTAAACTGTTGCAACAAATAATTCCAGCTACTACCTGTGACAATGAAACCACAAGCGAGGCAGTGTGTTTTCTTCTAAGGAATTGAGTGTTCGACGTAATGCTTCGGAGAACAATGTAGTTGGGATTTCAAGCCTAAACTAAAACCCCACAAACAATTAACAGAAAACACAAATAAAACGGACAAAATAAAGGTCCAAAAAAGTACTTAAATATCTACAAATCTAAAGGAAAAAACCCGCCATCAATAAAAAGTCTATCTTAATGAACCCACAAACAATTAATCACAAGAAAACCAACGAAGTACACAAAGTAAGCAAACAAATTAGTCTATTTAACCAACGAAATACACAAAGTAAGCACACAAATTAGTCTATTTAACCAACGAAATACACAAAGTAAGCAAACAAATTAGTCTAATTTCGTTTACCCAGAACCCAAATTAATCTATTTATCCCAAGAAAAAAAAACACAAAGTAAGCAAACAAATAAAGGTCCAAAACAGTACATATCAATAAATCAATAATTACCCAGAAGCCAAATTAGTGTAAACAAAAACCCAAATTAACGAAGCATACCCAAAACTAAACAAAACAAAATTACTTCTTTTTAGCCCAAGAATCTGAAATTATATAAAGTTCAAAGCTTTGAGTATAAAAGAAAGATTGTACAGTATAAGAACAAAACTAAAAATTGAAAAAAATAGAAAAGTTTTGAGCAAAGAAATATTTACCAGTAGAGAAAGGGATGGAGATTTATAATATATGGGTGAGAGTAATCTGAAGATACATGCAACAGAGAATTGAAAGGAATAAATTAGGTTAAGGAGGCAATTAAGGTGAAGCTGCAGTGAGAGAAAAATTGGGAAAAGATCGATAATATTGTACTGGGGGAAAATATTTTCATTAATTCTGGGGGGAAATTTTGAGTGAAATTTTATATAAGACATTTTTAGACTTTTGCCTCCTAACTGGACGTCGTCCATCTTTACCCTTATGAGAATTGGGGGGAAATATTTTATTAAGTGAAATTTTGGTGGGAAATTTTTGGAAAAATATTTTATAAGGAATTTTTAGGGTACGCTTGTAAAGTGTTGCATTTAATATGACAATATAACAACTCTTTAAAAACGTAGCAATACACCTAAGAAGCGTGGCCAAAAATTTTATATTTAGGCAACACTTAAAAAATGTTGTCTTTATATTTAAAAGGGACGCTTTACAAGCGTTACCTTAAAATCCGTGGCCGAAGACTATACTCAAAGGCCACGCCTAAAAAGTGTTCTTACAAATACTTTTGGCAACATTTTTTAAGCGTTGCCTAAATTAGTGTGGCTGTAGGCATAAAATGTTGTAGTGTGGCTTAAAGAGAGTGTACCAAGATGGTCTAAGAGTAAATGAGTGTGGAACAATATGAATGTACCCAAACATAAACTCATATGTTGGTTGGCTATGCATAGGAAACTACAGAGAAGGGAGAGGCTGAGCGGGATGGGGATATGCCAAGATACTACATGCCTCTTATGTGGGAACTTAATTGAGTCAGTAGAGAGCACCTAATGTTTGAATGTCAATTCTCTAAGATATGCCTAACTAAGTCCTCTAATGGTTGAAAATTCAAGTGAGAAACACAGAGATGCAAGGCATGTGGAGAAGAGTCACGAGAAATGTGAATGGAAAAATTAATAGATCCTTTATGATGGACGTACTAGTAGCACTTGTCTATGGAATTCGGAAGGCTAGGAATGAAGCGCTATGGAAACAAAAGGTTCCCCAGGTTAAGCAAGATTGTAAATATAGAAAATTTGAAAGTGTAAATAGAGGACAACATTAGAGGGCTAGAGAAAGGATAGAAGAATACAGATAGCAAGTGTAGGCACCTAGGAGAAGATTAGTTGTAGGGGCTCATGTTTCTCTGTTTTTATTTTGTTTTAAAGTTCCACTATAAGTTAGTTTTGTGGTGATCAATAAATTTTATATTTTCATCGAAACGGCCTAATGGACAATATTCACTACTTTGCCATGACCGTTTCTCATTTTTTGGCATTTTAGGATCATAAAACAGGAATTCAGGATGTTTTCGATTTTTCTTATGCTAATGTCCATGTCATCTTTATGAGTTCGGGCGAAGGACTCCGAATCGCCTAAAATTTTGTGGGCCTATCAGAAATCACCTAATAAGCAATAGTCATTTTTTCACCATGATTGTTCCTTTTTTTGGTATTTTAGGGCCAAAAACAGAAATTCAGATGATTTATAATTTTTCGTGTGCTAATATCCACGCCATCTTCATGAATTCGAGTGACAGACTCTAGATCGCTTAAAATTTTGTGGCCCCCTAAAAAACGATGTAATGAATTTCTTCGCCATGTCCATTCCTCATTTTCTGGCATTTTAGAACCATAAAACAGGATTCAAGACGATTTCCAATTTTTCGTGTGGTAATGTCCATGAATTTGGGCGACATGCTTCGTATAGCCTAAAATTTTGTGGCTCATTAGAAAAGGCCTAATTAACAATAGTCATTACTTTGCCATGACCGTTCCTCGTTTTTTGGCGTTTTATGGCCATAAAACAAGAATTCAAAACGATTTTTAATTTTTTGAGTGCTAATATCTATATCATCTTGATGAATTCAGGCGACGGGCTCTGAATCACCTAAAATTTGGTGGGACCCTCAGGAACGATCTTATGAACAATAGTTATTTCTTTTCATGTTCCTAGTTTTTGCCATTTTAGGACCATAAAATCGGAATTCACGACGATTTTCGATTTTTTCATGTGCTAATGTTCACGCAATTTTCATGAATTTGAGCGATGGGCTCCGAGTTACCTTTACGGGCATTGATTGAGCATAGTATTATGCCCCATCGCCTTAAAATCTTGGATCCACCCCTAATTTTGAGTAAAAAATTTTGAGTTGGAGTTCTAAAATAAGAAGCGCCCCCTCTTTAATTGTGATTTACAAGACTAAATCCTGATTAGTTAGGGCATAAATGCAAATTTCAGGCAACAAAAAAAAAACATTTTTATTTTCCTTATTTCGTGGGCTTGATGTCATTTACAAATCACTAAACCTCAATACCACCTATGTGTGTCTTCTCATCTTTGGTTTTACCGAAGTCTCCCTTTTTCTTTTTTTTCACCTTTTGACCATGAAATCGCAACCCAAAGTTGCAGACGAAAGTAATGAAAAACAACAACGAGAAGATGAACAAATCAAAATCCAGAGAAAAATAATAATAAAAATCTCAGACCCAGATGCTACAGAATCATCATCTTCAGAAGAAGAGGAACAAGAAAAGAGACAACCAAGAAAGCAGCAGCCAAAGCTCACTGTTCATGAAATTTTTCAAGATAAGGTAAAAACTACAACTTTTCCTCGCAAATTGCCATCTGGGGTTCGAAAGAGAAAATGGGGAAAGTATTGTGCTGAGATTAGAGACCCATTTAACAAGAAAAGAATTTGGTTGGGTACTTTTAATACTGCTGAAGAGGCTTCTCAAGTTCATCAGTCTAAGAAACTTGAGTTTGAGGGAAAATTAAAAATGGCTAAAATTGCAAAAACAAAGAAGGCTATTTCTGAAAAATCTGAACTTGAGAGTCAGACCTCAGATTCATCAAATGGGGTTGAAGAATTGTTGATGGGGCAGTGGATACAAATTTCAGATGATAAAGAAGTTTATTTTTCATTGAAATTGGGGGTTCCAATTGTTGATAATTATGGATTTTTATTAGGTGAATTTAGTGAATTGGATGATCTTAGTATTTCTGTCTGTGATGTAGAAAATGATCTCTGAGATAACTATTTTTTACAAAAATAGCCATCTTGTTATTGTAAGTCAATGATTTACTTCTCAATGAATAAGTGATATATGAGAGTGGGGAAATTGAAATGAGTGAATTGCTATTCTTATGTTATGGACTCCTCTTGTTGATGATTGAAATTGTAATTGCAGGCTATTTGCAGCAATACAAATTTGTTCCTACAATGTAAATTTGAGTTCTTGTTCTCCATTTCTGGATTATGTGATATTACAATGGAATTTTCTTGCAGCCATGTTGATGATTAAGTTTAATTACTTGACCAATCACTTGTCCTGTTGTCGACATAACATTTATTTGAATGAGTCAGGGCTCCCGAGATATATATGCCGGCCCTTCATTTGCTCCCTACTTCACAAGAGTTGGTAGTAAAAGGGACTTATAGAATTTTTCTTAGTGCAAAATATGGAAGGGGAGCCTTGGCGTAACGGGTAAAGTTGCTGCTATATGACTAGGAGGTCCCGATTTTAAGCCGTGGAAATAGCTTCTTGCAGAAATGCAGGGTAAGGCTGCGTACAATAGACCCTTGTGGTCCGGTCCTTCCCCGGACACCGCACATAGCGGGAGCTTAGTGCACCGGGCTGCCCTTTGTATTTAGTGCAAAATATAAAATTGGTTGGTCGTATGAAATTAATTGCATTTACTAGCCAAAAAAGATATAACATATATATATATATATATATATATATATATATATATATATATATATATATATATATATATATATATACACACATACTAGTAGGGTTAGCCCGGGCTTTGCCCGGGTCCAACACTGACAATGTTGTACTTTTTATTATATATTATGCTACCTTGTCAAGGTAAGGGTAAGAGTGAGTGAATGGGTTTTCATTTAACTGTTGGTAGTAAATTTTTATTTTTGAGAGTAAATTTGTTAGTACTAAGCTAAGGTTGGATATTATTTTGTATGGGTATGTGGCGTTGGCTTAGAGTTCTGATGAAAAGGCTTAGTTTGCTTAGCTAATAGTAAATAGTTCATGAAAGCCTGCGTAGTTATTTATACAAAATATGGAGGATTGTACTGTAGTAAATAACACCACCAAAATCTGTTGGTAAGAGTCGGTTTGCCTAACTATTTATACAAAATGTGAGACATTGTACTGCAGTAAATGGTTCATGAAAATCTACGTACTTATTTACACAAAATGTGGAAGACTGTACTGCAGTAAACAACACCATCAAAATGTGCCTTCAATGCAAGTATTACAACCGCGGTAGGCTATCGGGAAAAAATTTGAGCGACCTTTGTTGCACTTCAAATCTGATAAGGCATCTACATGAACAACAAAGTGAGAGTTAAGCGTAAAGTAGTAGTTGAGAATATGTAATTTGGACCAAGAATTGATAAGACGTTGAACATAGATTTTGTTTTGAATTGTAAAAGAATTCCAAAAATTCTACTGGAGTGTGAGAACCATAGGCAGCTGAAGACGATAAACATTACAGAGACATTTCGCTAATAGGAAAACG